TGGACTTGGCTCCCAGCCAAGTGCCTGGACCTCAGGGACAAAGCCTTCTCCCTCCCTCTCACTCTCGTGCAATTGATCGAAAAGATCACGAAAAAGAAAATCAAAAGAACCCAAACCGAACTGAATTTTAAGTGGAAGATTTTTATATATATATATATATATATATATATAAAATTATATACAGGAACCCCTCAAAGGGTAAAAGGGAAGGGAAAGGGAAAAGGAAAAAGGAATAAGAAGGGATATAATGCAAATACTTCCCTCCAGAGATAGCGAACCACACCACACGACCGCCGGCACTCTCTGCCTCCCAAGGCCAACCAGATGCGCTAGGCCTCACTCCCTCACCCGGGCAGAGCGACAGCAAAGCTACCTAGGCCTTCGGTCCACCAGAAGAAAGAGAGCGAGTGTTTCCTCTCTCTTCTTATTTATACTCTTCCTTACGTAAAAATCGTATGGAATACTGGGAACATGGCCTTGGTTCCTTGGTTACAACCTGGTCACCAAGGAAGGCCTAGTCTTAAAACTACTAAATTCTCCACCCCTTACTCCATACTATTTTTACGTAACACTTATATGTCATGTATTTGCTTATATCCAGCGTATATACACATATTTATATATATAGTCCTTTGGAGTAGTTGTCTTGTGGTAGAAGATCGGCTTCAGCATCAACAGTAGCTCGGTTCAGATCCTTGGTACTTTGATTACAATCACAGTTCAGGTTTAGGACTGGTTCACTGTCTCATCGTCAGATACTGGTATCAGGCTTTGGTCAGGTCTCTCTCATTTGGCGACTGGTCTCCTGTAAAACAACTTGAAGCACAAAGTTAGTTTTTCCCCAAGGATAAATTTCCTTGAGGCACACACTGTATCTTTCCATCTTTCCTCATCACCCACCAGGTGTACCCTGGCCCTTGTGCAAAAACAACTCCACGAATGGGTTTGTCCTCGCCCAAGGTAGGGGTAACCCAAACAGCTTTACCCAACATACCTCTCAGGTGAATCACTGGAACTTTGTCTCCATCTACAATGTGGAGGGATTCTGCTTGAGCAGGGCCAGCTCGATTGATAGAGCCTCTAGTATTTACCAACCAGGTGGCCTTGGCTAGGTGCTTATCCCAGTTCTTAAATTTTCCCTCACATAGTGCTTTTAAAGTTGTTTTTAACAGTCCATTATACCTTTCAATTTTTCCAGCAGCAGGTGCATGATATGGAATGTGATAGACCCATTCAATACCATGCTCCCGTGCCCACGTGGCCACTAGATTATTCTTGAAATGAGTCCCATTGTCTGACTCAATTCGCTCTGGAGTGTCATGTCTCCATAAGACCTGCTTTTCAAGACCCAGAATGGTATTTCGGGCTGTTGCATGGGGCACTGATTATGTTTCTAACCATCCAGTGATTGATTCCACCATGGTAAGCACACAACTCTTACCTTGGCAGGTCTGTGGCAACGTAATATAATCGACCTGCCATGCTTCTCCATATCTATACTTGTCCCAGCGTCCACCATACTATAGGGGCTTCAATCTTCTTGCTTGCTTGATAGCAGCACAGGTTTCACAGTCGTGGATAACCTGGGAAATAGTGTCCATGGTTAAATCCACCCCACTAGTAGGTGGCATCTCGGCCCTGATGGTCTGAAGCATCGTGGGTCCATCGGGCTAGTAATAACTCTCCCTTATGTTGCCAGTCCAGGTCTATTTGTGACACTTCAATTTGCGCAGCTCTATCCGCTTCTCTGTTGTTACGATGTTCTTGGCTCGACTCTTGGGTACATGGGCATCTACATGGCGGACTTTCATATCTAGTTTCTTTACTCTAGAAGCAATGTCCTGCCACAAATCAGAAGCCCATATAGGTCTTCCTCTACGCTTCCAACTCATGTTTTTCCATCGCTCTAGCCATCCCCACAGGGCATTGGCTATCATCCATGAGTCGGTATAGAGGTAGAGCCTTGGCCATCCTTCTCTCTCTGCGATGTCTAGGGCCAATTGGACAGCTTTGAGTTCTGCAAACTGACTCGATTCGCCTTTACCTTCAGTGGCCTCCACGACTCGTCGGGTGGGACTCCAAACAGCTGCTTTCCACTTCCGGTTCCCTCCTATAATACGGCAAGAACCGTCAGTGAAAAGAGCATAACGCGTCTCTTCATCTGGCAGTTGATTATATGGCGGAGCTTCTTCAGCTCGACTCACTGGTTCTTCTTCCTCTTCATCTGCCAGACTGAAGTTTCCACCTTCAGGCCAATTAGTTATGATTTCCAAAATTCCAGGGCGATTCGAGTTTCCAATTTGGACACGTTGCGTAATCAAAGTAATCCACTTGCTCCATGTGGCATCGGTAGCATGATGCGTAGGAGGCACTTTCCCTTTGAACATCCAACTCAGCACCGGTAGTCGGGGTGCCAGGAAGAGCTGTGCTTCAGTGCCAATCACTTCAGAAGCTGCTTGTATGCCTTCATATGCCGCCAGTATTTCCTTCTCCATAGGGGTGTAGTTAGCTTCAGATCCTCTGTAGCTTCGACTCCAGAAGCCAAGTGGTCGCCCTCATGTTTCACCAGGCACCTTTTGCCAGAGGCTCCAGGAGGGACTGTTATCTCCAGATGCAGTGTAAAGTACATTCTTTACATCTGGTCCCGTTCTAACTGGTCCAAGAGCCATGGCATGTGCAATCTCTTGCTTGATCTGTCTGAAAGCCTGCTGTTGTTCAGGACCCCATTGGAAATCATTCTTTTTACGGGTCACAAAATAAAGAGGGCTCACAATTTGGCTGTACTCTGGGATGTGCATCCTCCAGAAGCCTATGGCTCCCAGAAAAGCTTGGGTCTCCTTCTTGTTTGTTGGCGGAGCCATTGCTACAATCTTATTGATGACGTCTGTTGGAATCTGACGACGTCCATCTTGCCATTTCACCCCTAGGAACTGAATCTCTCTGGCAGGTCCCTTGGCTTTATTTCTATTGATAGTAAAACCAGCCTCGAGGAGAATCTGGATGATCCTTTGCCCTTTTTCAAAAACTTCTTCTACTGTGTTCCCCCATATGATGATGTCATCGATGTGCTGCAGGTGCTCTGGGGCCTTACCCTTCTCTAGGGTAGCCTGGATCAGCCCATGACAAATGGTTGGACTGTGCTTCCACCCCTGGGGTAGTCAATTCTAGGTGTACTGCACACCCCTCCAGGTGAAAGCAAACTGTGGCCTGCACTCTGCTGCCAAGGGAATGGAGAAGAACACATTAGCAATATCAATAGTGGCATACCACTTCGCTGTCTTGGACTCCAGCTCGTACTGGAGCTCCAACATGTCTGGTAGAGCAGCACTCAATGGTGGCGTGACTTCATTCAAGCCACAATATTTCACGGTCAGTCTCCATTCTCCATCGGATTTATGTACAGGTCAGATAGGGCTATTGAAGGGTGAGTGTGTTCTGCTGACCACCCCTTGACTCTCTGACTTCCTGATCATCTTGTGAATGGGGATCACAGCATCTCGGTTTGTCCTGTACTGTCACCTGTGTACAGTTGCAGTGGCGATTGGCACTTGCTGATCTTTGACTCGGAGTAGTCCCACAACGGAAGGGTCTTCTGAGAGGCCAGATAGGGCAGACAATTGCTTGGACTTCTCTTCAATCACCGTGGCTACACCGAAAGCCCATCGGTACGCTTTTGGGTCTTTGAAGTATCTTCTTTTTAGGTAGTTCATACCAAGAATGCAAGGGGCTTCTGGCCCCATCACAATGGAATGCTTTTGCCATTGGTCTCCTGTCAAGTTTTGTCATAGTTCCGATTTTAGCAAGGAATTTTTCTTTCTCTTCCCCCTGCCGTGTGTGCCCTGTGTATAGGCCATCAGGTAGCTATCAGGTGAACAAAAGAATCAGCCGGTCCACTAATGGCCGAGAGATAGTCTCCTAGGAAACAGGCAGATGAAGGATCTAAAGTCTACTACGCTACCTCGTTCTGTTTTTTCCTGTCAGTGGGGAGTTTGATGCTGCTCTCTGCTCAGTTGTTGCTGGCTGCAGGCCCTGCTTTAAGCGAACTCTAACCAGCTGAAGATCGTGAGTTTTCTTCCATTGGGAGAACTTCCTGTTTGATTGCTGTTTTCCTTCCTTTCCCTTCCCCTCCCCCACCCACTCCCTCTCTCCTGTCCCAGTGTGGGAAGGGAAGGGGAACTGAGGGGTGTTTTTGTTGTTGTTTTGTTGTTTTTTTCCTGGACATTACAAGTTCTGCACCTCCAGTGATCCAACAGCCCCACCTGGTGAATGGTACAGGACATTACAAGTTTTGCATCTCTAGTAACCCAACAGCGCCTCCTATTGACTGTGGCTGGAATTGTACCAAGGGGCGCAAAAAATTGAACTGTTCACTCTTCCTTTTGCTGGTTTATCAGTTTGTTCTTGAAGGGGATTATTTGTGGGTATAGGAGTGTTATTTGATTGTTTTACTTGGTTTTTTTTGGTGTTTCTGTTAATACACACATGCTTTTAATAAAGGGCTGTTATTTTTCCTTTTCCATAATTTGTTCTTCTTCTTCAATCAGAGCTTTTTAATTTTGGATTTAAAATTGCTTAGAGAGAAAAGCTTGGGTTTTTTTCTCCTAACTCACCCTCAGCAAAAGACCCTTGTCTCATTTAAACTGGGACAGTCCTCCACCTCCTCCTTCCTCCTCCACCTCCTCCTCCTCCACCTCCTCCTCCTTCCTCTTCCTTCTCCTCCTCCTCCTTTCTCCTCCTCATCCTTCCTCCTCCTCCTTTCTCCTCCTCCTCATCCTTCCTCCTCCACCTCCTCCTTCCTTCTCCACCTCCTCCTCCTCCATATCCTCCTCCTTTCTCCTCCTCATCCTCCTCCTCCTCCACCCCCCCCCAGGGTTTGGGATCCACGGGATCTTGATTGCCCCAGAGCCTGGAAAAAGCTCCACGGAGCCTGGAAAAAGCTCCACACCCCGACCTTTTCCCCCCTCCCACCCACGAGGGACCCCCCTGTGGGCATTCCTGGGCTTCGGAGTAATCCTAGAGCTAAAGAGGTATGGGAGAGACATCAGCTTGAAGCCACTCAAAAGGAAGCAGTCTTCGAGAAACAAGAGGTTAAAACACAAAATGTAAAGCACTACAGGAAAGTTTAGCATTAGGAAACCACGGAGGTAATAAATTGTCCGAGGGAACAGAACATGTTGATAAAAAGGATACTAAAACCATAAAATAACACAAAACAAAGAGATAGTAGTATCAGCAGATTTAAGATGGGCCAAGGTTACCAAGACGCTGCCAACATCACAAGAAAACTACCCAAATTAAGAAAGATTTGAGAAGAGTTCAAAAGTTTACACCGAGGAAGACCAAACAGACGACCACCTCCCCCGATGAAGGCTCCGGATCTCCCACCTCTAATCCTCCGCAAATTGAAGACTCCGCCTATATATGAATATTACAAGTAGATGTTGCAATGTAATGAATATACATGTATAATGATGTAATCCCTACTCAGAAATTGTATAAAAGGGTTGCACTACGCAATTTACGAACGATGGGATGCAAGAAAAAAAAACCATCTTAATCAGAACCATTCGCTACACGACAATAAACCAGGGGTCACTAAGGAATGTGGGTCCCCAAGAAGGCTGTTCTCAATATGAGTCACCGAGAATGTGGGTCCCCAAAAGGTTGTTCCCAAGGTGGGTTCTCCAACGGGTGACAGAGCGGGAGCAGCGGTAGAAGCTCTTCCCACAGTTGGGGAACTCGAGGGGCTTCCCTTACCGGTGGGTCCGTTGGTGTTTGGTCAAGTGGGAGCTCTGGTTAAAGCTCTTCCCACACTCCCCACACTTGTAAGGCCTCTCCCCGGTGTGGATGCGCTGGTGGGTGACTAGGTTGGAGTTCTGTTTGAAGCCCTTCCCGCAGTCGGTGCAGCGGAAGGGCCTCTCCTCTGTGTGTGTCTGCTCATGCCTGAGGAGATTCCCGGTGTCCTGAAACCTCTTCCCACATTCCCCACACATGTAGGGCCGTTCCCCAGTGTGGATGAGCTTGTGTTGGATCAGGTTGGAGCTGTCACTGAAGCTCTTCCCACATTCCCTACACGTGTAGGGCCGTTCCCCAGTGTGGATTTGCTGGTGCCGGTTCAGGCTGGAGCTGTCACTGAAGCTCTTCCCACATTTCAAACACTTGTAGGGCCGTTCCCCAGTGTGGATGCGCTGGTGGATGCGGAGGTTGGAGCTCTGCCTGAAGCTCTTCCCACATTCCCTACACGTGTAGGGCTGTTCACCACTGTGGATTTGCTGGTGCCTGAGGAGGTGGGTGCTCACCCTGAAGCTCTTCCCACATTCCAAGCACCTGAAGGGCTTCTCCCTGCTGGGAGGCTGCTCAGGGACCACCAGCTCGGAGCTCCGGTTCAAGCTCCGGCCGCCTTCCTGGTGCAGGCCGGGTCTTTCCTCCTCAGAGCTCCCTGGGTTGGCTTTGCAGCCCCTCCTCCAGGGGCATCTCCTGGTCTTTTCCTCCCCACTGCCTTCCTGCGCCGGGGAGCCCTTCAAAACAGCATCTCCCACCAGGCTCTGCCGGGGGGATTTGTCCTCCGTGCTCTCCGTCCTCAGCTCGGGGCCTGGGGCAGGAAGGAAGAAGGACAGGCAGGGGATTTGCCTCCGGCCCAGAGGGAAGGCCAAGCACATCCCCCCCAAATTTGGCCCCCACAGGCACCACAAGACAGGGCCAAAGGGGCACTGACTTCCTCCTCACCTGCCTGGGGGGCCCACGGCTTTTTCCTCTTCCTCAAATCCTCCTCCTCCATCCGCCCAAGCTTTGGGAAGGACAAATCCTGCTGGGGAAGAAACAAGGGCTGAGCGCATTGGCTTGGGGGTTCCTCCTGCCCAAGTCCATCCCTAGGACTCACCGGGCATCCTGGGACCATAAAAACCTCCAAAACATAACGATTCAGCCCAGAAAAACCTAAAGCACCGATTCAGTGAGAAAACCCAAAACCACTGAGACTGAGGTAAAAAACCTCAGAAATAGATGAATCCCCTCGGAAACTTCCGAAAGTTAAGGTTCATCCAAAACATAAAGATTCATGCCAAAACAATTGTCCCAGGTGTTCCCCTTCTCTGGTCTCTCCCCTCTGGGGTTTACAGGGTCTCCCCTGTCTGGGATTCCACTTCAGGATGCTGGGAGTGTTGGGGGTCCAAAGGGTCTGTTCTCTGACTCTCGCTTTTGGGGGTGCCACCTTCCCAGATATTCCCCCAGGAAGGAGGAACTTGTCCCAAAGAGCCTGGGGGGAGCACGGGGGGTCGTGACATCCTTGGGCTGCGAGCACAGATTTCCCTGCAGACTTTGCATGGAGTCAGTCGAGCTCTGGAGAGCAGATTGTGCCCCAGGGATGGGATTGCAGAGGGGCCCCCAGGTCCCCAGAATGAAGCAGCAACCAGCAGTAGACACAAAAAGGTCCCCCCAAAGATCTTGGGGGCAGTGTCCTGCAGGGAGGGGACAGTGTCACCCATGAGGTGGCCGAGGAGGCTTCATGCTCTGCTCGGCCCCATCAGTGGCTGGGACCAACACCCCGTCCTCGTGGCCAGCGGCTCTTTCCTGCCCCAGCCAAGAGGTTCCCGGCCCCCCAGAGCTCCCCTGGGGCTGTCCCTGCTCCTCCCTGCAGGCTCCGTGGCCGGGCACACTTTGTGTTCCTGGGTGCCACCAGCTCAGCAGCTGCAGCCGCTCCAATCAGCGCCCGCAGCTCTGCAGCAAAGCCCCAGCTCACCTGGCACACAGGGCATGGACACAGCACCTTCTCCCTGCTGGGCACTCCCAGCTCAGCCACTTCCCCAGCACAGGGCTCTCCTGCCTCAGCACCACCTCTGCCTTCCACTTCTTCTCAGGGCCACCTCAGGGCCTGCTCTGGGCTCACCTCCGGGACATTGCTCAGGGTCACCTGGGTGGGAGAGGAGGGGCAGCACCACGAGCAGGTGAGTCCCGAGATCCCCCTGGTGTCCCCAATGTCCTCAGGGCATCCCCATGGCCCGAGTTCCCCCCTTGACGCCCCCCATTCCACTGTCCCCAAACCTCACCCTACGTGTCTCCAACCCTCTATTACCCCCCAGGAGCCCCCTCTGGACCCTCTGACCCCAGACCAACCCCCATTCCCCCTTCACACTCACAGAAAATTCAACGACATGTAGAGAGACACTGGGGACACTTGGGGGGCCTTGGGGGGTAGTGGGTGATTACTGGGGGATACTGGGACACACTGGGGGGAACCAGGGGGCACTGGGAGGGACTGGGGGGTTATTGAGGGATGCTGGGAAGGCACTGGAAGGGACTGGGTGATTACTGGGGGATTACCAGGACACACGGGGGGACACTGGGAGGTTATTGGGCCATACTGGGTGTTACTGGGTGCTCACTGCAGGATCATTGGGCCATACTGGGGGGCAGTGGGAGGTCACTCGGAAACACTGGGTGGTAATTGGGGGGGTTACTGGGCCATGCGGAGAGCCACTAGGAGGTCACTGGGCTATACTGGGGGCACTGGGATCCCTTTACCCATATGCAGTTCATGTTCCCCCAAGACTTTGGGTGGCACTACCAGGACCCCTCCCCTGAGGGCTCAGGGACCCCCTGAACCCCAATTATAGGCTTTAGGGACCCCCTGAGTCCCCCTCCCTGTAGGGTGTCTGTGTGTTGAGTTTTGGGGGTCTCTGGGGTTCGGGGGGGGTCATTAAGATTCACTTTTCCCTGCGGTCGGTCCGCCCAGCCGGCAGGGGGAGCTGTGGCACGAGCGGCAATGGCGGCGCCGCGCGAGGCCTTATGGGAGTTAGAGTTCCCTTGTGAAAACTCCGCCGGCGCCTGCGCAGTGCAGCCATGGCGTTTAAACAGCCCCCCCCCGAGGGTTCCATGGCCCCAGCCCTTTCAGGGACCCCCTAAACCCCTTCAGGCACCTTCACCCTCCCCTCTGAGCGCCCTCAGGACACCAAATCCCCTCCGCGACCCCCCGGGAGCCCCTCACGGACCTCAAAACCTCCTCGGGAACCCCCGAGCCCCTCCTCTCCACTCTGCCGAGCCCTCCAGCCTTCCCGCCCACAGCCGCGCTCCCCGCAGCCCCCGAGCGCATCCCCAGCCCCGCCGCAGCCCCCGCCAGGGCTCACAAAGTCGGAGCAGATCCCGCTGTCGCCGCCATCGCTTTCCCGGCAGCCACCGCGGGGCTGTGCGCGCGCACCGCCGGCACAGACCCCGCCCCGCCCCCTTTTCCCCGCGGGGCACGCCGGGAGTTGTAGTTGCAGTGGCTCAAAGCTCCAAACTCCCCCAGACTCAATTCCCCACGGGCGTTCCTGGGGCAGAGCGGGGCAGAACCGGGGCGGGGACGGGACGGGCATTGGGTGGAAATCGTTATAAAAACTGTAACCCCTGCGTTGGAAGGGATGGGTGTGTGTTTGTATTGCTGGAGCCTGGAGGCTCATGGAAACCTCTGCTGCTTCTGTGACCTCCTACCTAGTTGGGCCTGGAGTCTTTTCCTCTGCAACCTTTTAGGCAGCAGCGTTTATGGGGTTTATGAGGACATGGCCTTTATGAGGAGAGCCTCTTAGGAGGGGTATGGGCTTTCTGAGGACAGCACCTTTATGACCTGTATGGGCTTTATGCAGAGAGATCTTTTATGATGAGAGCTCTGTCATGAGGTGTATGGGGTGTATGAGGACAGTGCTTTTATGACATTTATGGTGTTTATGAGGACAGAGCCTTTATGAGGTTTATGGCATTTATGACAACATCTCTTTCATGATGGCAGCCCATGAGGAGGTTTATGGGCCTTATGATGACAGGGGCTTTATGAAGCCTGCACCATTCTGAGGTGTGTGAGGGTTATGA